GGGGGGGGGGGGGTGGTGTTTCCTCACCCCCCGCCCCCTTGGGACACGCTCTCCTCCCCCGGTTTCCTTCAGTCTCCGTCGCCCCCGGTACAGCGCGACGTGCTGCTTCTGCCCAAAATGGCGCTGCCGTATGGAAAGGCCGGGGCTGCTGCTGCCGGCTCCCTGCCCGCGTCGGCCGAGATCTAAAGCCCTTTGAGGCGCTTTGCTGATTTCTCCTGCTTGTCCCGTCTCAGTTCAGCTCTCACAAGGGTATTCCGCGCGGCACGTTGTGGGTCAGGCAGACACAGGCTGGGAGGACCTGCATGAGCAAAGCGGCACCGAGTGCGCAGAGAGCAGGTGCTTCTCCCGGCCGCTTCGGCGGCCGAGGTCGAAAGGCTGGGTGCCACTGGCACGGGAGACTGACTTGGAGTCTGTGTCACTCCCTTTGGCTTTCTCATCAGCCTGGTTTGGGAGGATGGGGTGGAGAACAGATTCATTCACAAGGGCAGTGAAAACCCTAAAGGTTATTTGCAGTTGTAGTAGCGATACATAACTCAAGAAGCTGCTTCCCCCTCTTGCTTTGATGTTCCCGAGCCTTGGGCATCCTCCGTGTTCTGCAGAGATGCTGATTCTCTTCACTGCTGGCAATCTCGAAACCTGGAAGTTGCCTTCTCTGTGTGTCCTCACAGTAGAGAAAATCCTCCATCTCAGGGTGACTTGTTCAGAAGCATCTTTCCTTTGAGAATGTGATTGTTTCACTTTGACGCAGCTGATGTCATGATTAAAGCAAATTGTTTTTCTCAAGAAAATGCCTTAATTTTAAGGGGTTAAGAAAATACTTGCTAGCGTTGTACATGGAGGACATTACTTGTAATGTGGATGGATAGTTCATCCGTAGTGGCAGAAAACCCTAACACACCCTGCAGGGAAGGTGTTGGCACTCAGCTGTGGTGTAGTCCTGCTAGGGTATTGCCATTTCCTGTCGCTGGATTATCTTGGCCTTAGCCCTGGGTAGTGCCCAGCCTCACCTGCTTGCTGCATCAGCTGGCAGCACTTCAGAGACGAATTAATCCTTTTGCAACTTCATCTGACGACTTTTATGGAAGTGCCTGTCAAGAGGTACAGCCAGCCCTTGTCTGAAGGGTTGTGCTCCCTCCCACTGGATTTGCTGTGGATGAAAATTAATCGGGTGGTTAATTTTTCACAGTTAAAATGCCAAAATTTTAAGTTTAAACCAATCTAGCAGGATCATCTGTGGACACTTTACTTCTGGAATGACTTAATAAACTTACGTAAGAACATCCACACGGGTGTTTTTAATTGGCTTAATTAAATTGGTTAAAAAATAATTTAGCCTAAGTTCAGCTTCCTTATAGAGACAGGGCAGGTTTTTACCTGCAAACAGTATCTCCTTGTCCAGATTGAGACTCTTTAGCACATACTCATTTTTCTGTTCTGAGTGTATGACGGTGTTTTAGCAGTTATTATTGAGCTTGGCTTAGACCTACATTTTCTATTCAGTGAGCCAGATGACTCCCTCTGTTCAGATCTGCAATTATTTCCTTTATTCTTCTCTTTAATTATGTTCCTGGAACACTGCAGTAGTGCACTGTAGGCTATATTTTACACATGTATATAGATCAGAATGTATGTTACTCTTCAAAGTTTGCTCCATAAATCTTTTAGGTGTATTTCTGCTCAAAATTGCTCATTCTGAAGATTGTAGGGGCTAACTAACATTTCAGGATAGTTAGACCAGTTAGCATACCTAATTAAGTGACTTATGGCAAGCTATCAGTGCAGTTGCTTTATTACAGGTCATGGCTGGACCATGTCAGGAAAATTTGTTTTAAAAAGAAGGGTTGCGTTATTTAACATTAGACACATTTCTGAGGGAGAGGAGTATGATTGCTGCGATCAGCAGCCGTGTCATGTGTCAAGTGACTGTTTTGATATGTAAGCCTGTTTACCTGCTCAGACTCCCACAATTGCATTCACCATTGGTATAAGCATCGACGCCGGTGGAGTCGCACCCACTCGTGCCAGCAGTGAATTTGGCCCAGAGGCCCTATTCCAGTGCTATCAAAACACTGATACTGAAGCCAAGCTTTTATTGATTATGTTTTTTAAAAATACCACCCTAAATTATTTTTTTTTTCCCTAAGATGTTGCAGTTTACTCTGGAGCCTAAATGACTTGATTAGAAGTCTAATTTGGATTTTCTAAATCATATTGAACATGCTACGCTGCAGCATAGTTTTTACGTTCGATTATCTGCAAATTGCTTGTGATATCCTCAGCATATACAACAATGAAATAAAGGAAAATTACGCATTTGTATTTGATACATGCTTAAAATTAACTTTTCTTCCCCCCGCCAGGTAGAAACTGTAGCTTTTTGCAGGAAATGAATGTCATTCAGAAACAGGATGAAAACTGTTACTGCTATGTGCAAAACAGAACCATGCGCTTACAGTACATTTGGTCGACTCTCCAGGTAAGAGGCCATTTTGAGCATCATTCAGGTATGCAGTACATTTCTCGTGAACTTTTGCCAGCAAAGTGTACGATCAGTTAGCAAAATCAAATCAGTATCTCTGTGTAATTAGTAGTTTGAATGGTGTATGGGTAGGACCATGATAAAAAAGCAACATTGTGATCCCCCACTTGGGAATGCAGTGAGGTTTGGTTTCTCTTTATTAGAAGGATGTCATCCAGGCTTATAGCGTGATGCCACACAAACATTAACTTAAGTGTTGCATAATATTTTGTTGCACACCTTTTCTACTGATGGACCACTGTTTAATCTGGACTGATTAACCTCTGCACAAATGTTTTCGCTTATCACCAAACACCTTTAGAAAACTTTTAAATTTGAGGATAATACACAGTTCTGTGACTCACTTGCTGTAGCATACCAAGCCACAGTGTAGGAGCCAAAGGTCTATTAGATTGTGACTAATGAAAGAACAGCAGTAGCAGTGCATTTCTGTTTTTCTGAGTAACAGAGGGTCATCTTAGAAGAAATGTGTTTAGAGGTTAGCTCAAAACAATATAAGGACTCTTTAACAGTGGAATGATAATAACTAAAGGAACAAGCTGACCATCTTTGTGGCTCCTTTTTTTTCCTGGGAAGTATCTCTGGACAAGGGAAGGGAACAGTTTCCCTTCATCTGCTGGAGGAATTTGCTCTCAGATATAAGGAACTAGAACATCTCTTTGTCTGTTCCTAGGATTGTTTTCCTCAGGAACCTGCTGCAGATGTTTCTGTGAATGGTAGCAGACTTCGGGAGGTGAAACCCTCCAGCAATCACACAAGCTTTCCTGGAATAAATGCTTAAAAGCAGGAAGATCAGATTTTTCCCACAACAAATTGCATGCTGACGTGTTGTCTCTTCTCCCAGTAGAAGCCTGTTTTATTACCTGTTGCATCACTTTTTTGTAGATGGGTCTTTGTTGTCTAATAGGCCCTGATGAAGAGCTCACAATGAATCACAATCTTCAGGAAGATCATCCCAGCTCAGAAGATAAACAAGATCTTTCACCAGTTTGGTGGGGGAGGGTGCTAGGAACTAGCAAGAAACCTCAGAAAAACCCAACAGGAACGTGCTTTGTAATTAAATTTCTGGTTATGATGTCTTCCATTTTCCTTATACCTCTTTTGTCCCTAACATCAAGATTCCATTATTAACTACAAGAACAGAAGTCCAATTTCTTACAGTTGAGGAAGGGAATGGGGAAGCGTATGAACATCCACAAAGGAAACTGTGGTCAGTCAAATATTACTGGTTTTGTTAGAAATTTGTGTGGGCAAGTGTCATGGTAAAACCAAACCCACTGAGATTTGGATGGATTGAACCCCCTTCATAGAACTTTGCTGACATTGAGTTCTCTCAATCACCTTGTAAGGCCTAAACAATTAATCTCTGCATAATACCACTAATCAATATTAATCAACTAAGAATCACACTAGTGTTTTACTCTCGAGCTCTCTGTACTGATTTTCATTATTATGTCTCTGTCTTACATGCTATATAGTTCAGAAAAACAAAAAAACCCCCAGTGATTCTGAGCTACCTCTCTGTATTCTGTTTTGTTTTTTTTTTTTTAGATAAAAGTCAACAGCAGAGAAATGTTCAGGTTTGAGCCTATTTCAGAAAAAAGCAACTGTCGTAATTCAGAAACTGTTTTTGAGTTTGCTGTGTGTGCTGTTCAAATCTGGAAACCAGAGACATCTACAGAAACTTTCATAAGCATAAAACAGTATGGAGAGGATATTTGTTTCAAAATACAGCCCTTCAAAACTGAACCGTACACTGTGAGTGTGAAACGAGAAAGTAAGTAAAAAAGCTTTCAGTTTAGATTACAGATAGATTAGTATTGCCAGTGTTACTGAATGTACCATCTCTTCGGTAAAAAGCTTGGGACTTTTCTGTTGATACTTTATATAATCAACATTGCAGATTGAATTAGTCTAAAGTCCATTTCTATTTTTTTCCCCTTTTTTTTTAGTGCTAGATGGAAAGCTCTTGTTTTTGTTTGTAGCTGGAATTTTTCTGTTCCATTTTGCAAACAGCCTGAGCAGGTGAGTACTAGCTGCTGGTTTTTCACCTTCTTTCCCAAAGTCTGTGCACCTTTGGTCTGTTTTCTAAGCTAGAGAGACAGGGTTCTTTGGGAAAGTGAAATAAGGAAACCGAACATAAATTTAAAACTCCTTCATACCACTTGTATTTGGACAGATTGTGACATATCTTGGAGTGCTGCGATCTATTAATCACTTAGCTGTGTTAGGGTTCTTGTATCCAAGCTTCCTGCACTGGGTGACACCAAGACAATCCTCAGCAAGCAAGTGTGTGGATTCAGAAAAATTCTCCCTCCCTTTTGTAGACCAGGGAGGTTATCAGAACGCTGAGTGCTGCTGCATATGTTATAAATGATGCCTTCCTGCAGCGAGAAATGCTTAGGATGAGCTCATCTGGGGCCCTGTCTGCCTCCACCTTTGTGCCAGCCTTTCCCCATCATTCTTTTTATGCATCTTTTACGTAGCATGTAAGGAAGGATACTTACTGTTACAGCAAAACATGTGTCCCATGACTTCAAAGCAAAATGAGTCACAAATTAATTGTCAGGAGGCATCTCTAAAACAAGCAGAGCAGCAATAGCTTTTATAGAGTTAACTCTGAATTACAAAGTCAGACTTTATACATGCATAAGCTTATAAAAAACCCTGTGGGTTCGTGGAGGGTTTTTTTACATTTTAAAAAATACATTTACATTAAAAAATAAAACTTCTCTTGCGGTACAGAACCGTATCGGTACATAGACGAAAATGGTATTACTAAAAACTAGAAGGTAAATGAAAGTAGAAATAGTGTGAGCTTTAAGAAAAAACAACACAATCTCCTAGCCTGTAACAACTCCAGTGACCTTAAGTATCTGTTGGGAATCTTTCCTTATAGGGATTTATATCTAAACTGGGCCTGTTAACTATGTACCTACAACGCTAATTTACAGCTGTGTTAAGTTCTTGTTGAAGATCACTGCTGTTTTTACAAGTGTTGGCATCCTAACCAATTACAAATTATACTTCTCACTCTATTCTCTCTTGTTCTCTTACAGGAGTACCAACTTCTTTTACCTTTCTGGAATAATACTGGGTGTTCTTGCTCTTCTAGTCTTTGTCCTGTTGACACTTAAAAGGTTTATTCCAAGGGTAAATCTACATTTATAAAACAAAATAGTAACAATCATCAACATCATAATATAGGAAGTGAAGAGTACAGAGCCAGATTCTGACCTTGCTCTGGTCTCGTGGCCAGGTAATTCCACTGAAATGACTGCAGGATTTCTTGCGTCAAGTAAATATAATCAGGTCAGAATCAAGTTCTAGTTAGCTTGCTCCTGAGTTTACTTTAAACAGGAGATTGGTGATGTAGAAGAAGAATTTATTCTTAAACTTAAATTATTTTTATTGGACTGGAGCTAAGCTTACTTCTGAATCCATGAATCAGTCTAAATCAAAATGTAGTTTTAGTGGCAACTGAGACAGATTCTCTTCCGTTCACCAGAGACAATTCACTGCAAGGCAGAAATGAATTTTTCCCTTACTTTTACAAAGTTTGTGCATGCCTACAGTATTGCTGAGATACATTAGTTGGGAATACACTGCGATAGGCTTATACCACGACATCGGGACACGACACACCAATACAGAGATCAGTAGCTCTGCTTAGAATTGATAGTGTTTGGTTGTAGCGCATGGAGCACTGTACGGTGGAAGTGTAACACAGATCATAAGCCCTATAGGTCTAATGAATGTCACATCTGGTTTTGATGTGAGTTCCCTTGCACCCAATGGTCCTGATTCTGACTTGAAAGTTTTTTATTTTTCAAAGGTTTTTAAAATTTTTTTCTTTTTTTAAATTTAATTTCCAGCGCAGTACTTTCTGGATCTTAATGAGTGGCTGCTGGATATCCTCTCTATATTTTATGTACTGCTTTAAAGAGAATATGCAGTGGTTGTGGTCTGAATACAGAAACTACTTGTTGGGTAAGAATATTATAAAAAAATGTGCTGCAGAATCTGGTTTAATTTAGTGGTTAGATGAATACCTGCCCATAAAAAATAAAATCAAAAGTGACTCATTTGTGGAGTACTTTTCTCTCCTAAGCCATAGACACTGGAATATTCCAGAGGTTCCTAATGCACTCAAATAAGCATTTACTCACACTGTATCATTAAATAAGGAGCCTGAAACACTGTGCCAGTAGCAGCTTCAAGAGTGGATTTTGCCAGTACTGTTTGTTCATTGATTTGCCGTTACGGACTTTCCCTGTAACAGCCAAAGGGCAGCTATGCTGGTTTGTATTTTGCTGGATGTGGGAACTGGATGCATACGTTGCTAACTGGATGTGGCTGCAGGGGCTGACAGATCTATTCCTCTGGCACCTGCCTTGACATTCCTGCATGGGGAGAATTCACATGCAGCTCGTAGCACTAGCCAAAGGCTGTTCACAGATCACCTTGTGAACTCTTTGCACACTTCTGAAATAGAAAGCACATACAACCTAATGCAGGTATCTATAAGAACACACAAAACAGCAGGCTATACCTCACAGCAGCTGCAAGCTTTGTGAATCAAAGTAATGAAGTTTATATGGGTAGTTTGCATCTTTTTCTCTGTGTCCTCCTTTTCTGTTTCTACAGGGTATTTTCTGGCTGTCGGAATTAGCAGCTTTGCCATTTGCTATCAGCATGGACCGCTTACCACTGAACTGAGCATAACGTTGTTCGCATGGACGTTACAATTGACAGCCTTTGTCTTGATGTATTGTGGTGTCACCGTACCTCAAGTTGCATATGCCGTAATAGCAGTCAGCCTCTGCTCAAAAGGCCTGTGTTACCCCCTTGGTGCTGCTTGTCACATCAGCAGGTTTGTATGTATTTGTGAAAGTCTCAAGTCCCTGTATCACCAGGAAATACTGGAGGCTGATAATGAAATACTCTTACACTTCAATAATGATTTATGACCTTCTAGTACTAGTTCATATTTTTACCAAATGTAGAGCTGCAATAGCGAAGGTTTAAATCCGCGAGACACAGGAATTTAATTATTTTCCATTTGGCAGTTTTAAGCACGAGTTTTGTTCTATGGAGAACAGAGAAATGTGACTGCGCTCTTAAGTACAAATGTAGCACCTTCTAGTCTGCAGCACATGGTAACCAAGACATTTCCGTTTGGTCGATTGATTAACTGCAGCAATTCTGCCTTGGCTTCATGTGTAGGGAGAGAATCTGCAGGTAACTCGTACTGAATCTTACAGGATAAAACTGTGTACTACCACTGAGGAAGCAGATGTTAGAAAGTGACAGTCCTTGTAGGTTAGATAGGGTAGAGTTCAGAGACTAAAAACCTGTATCAACAAAAATAACAGTTTCCATTGATTTTAAGTTTTCCAAGGTTATTATCCTAGATGTACGTATCTACCTTTACTTTGTGGAAACAATCTGTTATCACTGTGGAGACATCCCCCTGTATTCCAAGACCCCCATTTATATTGTGGCAGTTGGAATGGGAACTGCTTACAATACGTAGACCTTTGCTAAATATTTTGATTAGCAATATGAGAGCAACGTGTTTGCTCATCCTTGAATTTGAAGCATGTTTTAGCACAAGTCCAACACTCAAGTGAAGATTGCAAAAAGTCCTGCCAATTTCCATCTGGTTTTAACCTTCAGTGATGGCACCCAGATTAAGAGTCTTTAGTGCAGACTGTCCCGTAGCTGTGGACCTCTGCTGACCTGCAGAGAACCAGGAAGAGGCAAAGACTGGCATAACCAGAAGAATAAAACACAATTTTTTTTTTTAAAATTTTTTACACTGTTAATTTTGAAGAACATATTGCTTTGCTCTTGTGCTCTTTTTAGATGTTGAAGTGTGGACTAGGCTGAAGCTTTTTTATTTTAGGTAGAATTTAACATTTGTCAAAGACTGTTTTTTGCCTGCAGCTGAGAAGCACCAACCATTTCAAAAGCAACATCTAAGATCAATACTTACCTGATGTAAACAGGCTCAGCTCAGTCTGAAATCAGTCAGATTTAGCTACGAGTTCACAGCAGTCAGAACATACCTGTGTTACCCTGAAGCACTGTAGTTTGTTCTCCATGTGGACCTTTGGCTTGATAGAAGCCAAAAAGCACTGAAATACAGCTCTACAAGTCTCTCTTAGGAGAATGATAAGGTTTTGTTTGGTGTTTTGTTGTGTTTTTTTTTTTTTGTCTGTCTCAAAACACTAAGCAGTAGCAGCAAACTGAGGCCATGACGCCAGATGCACAGTTCAGAGCAGCACATATATCAAAATAACAAGAAATTTGTGTTCTTTGTTGTTAAAAGCAGTACGGATCCCACTGAACCAGTGAGACCTTTACTGTTTGACCTGCACAGTTCATTCTTGCTTTCCAGGGCAATAAGGAGGAAAGTTGAATGCTGCTGGTTGGAGCAGGTGTTTTTATGCAGAGCTGAAAGTTTTATGGGCATCCAGCCCTTGCTTATCTTAACTTCATCACAACATTTAAATTGAAAGCAGTTGACAGAAGGGAACAGAACATGGCACACTTTCTAATTGATACCTAATTATATTATACATCACTACGTAGCAGCTAAACATCAGATTGTAAACATTTTCGCCTCAGACTACTCAGTTTTGTAATTTAAAGCAGGATTTAAGAGAAGCGATCTAGTAAACAACATGAACAACTCATAACAGACTTAGAGCATTGCTTATCTTCGAAGTTACATATGCAGACTGGATTTTGGTTCAGCCCAAGTCTCTGCACAGACACATTTTGCATACTGCACCTAGAAATGGCTGAGCAAGCAACCTGCTATTTAATTCTATGAGATTTTAGTCCATGTGGACACAATAAGCACCTGAGCCAAAGCTCATTTGAAGCTCATTAGATACCATTCTGTGGAATTCTACAACTTTGGTTAAGACCTAGGGTAAACAGGCTAGCAAACATTAGATACCTTGTCCTAAAATTTGAATGCGAGACTGTAGCTCATTCTCTTTAAAGGATAAAAGTGATTAATGCATGTTAATAGTAGGTAGTAGAGAAAAAGGACAAGCAATAACTATCTGCCAGAAGGCCTCAGAAATACTAATTGTTTTAATTTCATTCTAGAAAAATGAAGAATCACTTTAAATCAAAAAAGTTAGTGTTTAAATGCCTTACTGAAGAGGAGTATCGAGAACAAGGTGAAACAGAAACAATCAGAGCTCTGGAGGAGCTACGCTCATTCTGCAGGAACCCTGACTTCCCATCATGGATAGCTGTATCCAAACTCCAGTCCCCCCATAGGTAAGAAAATCTGGCTTCTTTAAAATGGGAAACACATTGTACAGACACTGTTACACAGCAGACTGAAATGCTGCTTCAGGCACTGTTGCAGGTGCGTTGTATCTTGCATGCAGAGTAGTTTTATCTTCTTGACTAATCCCACTAAAGATCAAGCCACACCTTGCTAGTGGTATTGCCTGTTTATTCCTCCCTGACCATAAATTACTGAGAACTTGTGCACATTCACAGCTAATTCATGGTGATGGCAGCTTTCCTTAAAACTTACACACTTCCTACAGTGCCTTTGTAAGTTCCTACACAGTGACCCAGGTGGCTGTCTAACCAGTGAAATGCCCCTTTCTTCAGTTTTTAGAGCAGTACACTTTTACATTGTGTAAAATTGGGGCAGGCTGAAGATACATGCTCAGATATTAACTGTACTAAGTTCTCCAAGCCTGCACAGCCAAGGAATCGTATTACTTGAAGTATCAACCAGTATGTAAGGCCAAGAATATAGATAAAGAGACCAGTGACTACACCTCAGAACTGTAACAGGTAGAAGACCTACTCCAGATACAGCTTATGAGACAAACTTACGACAAATATGAGTTGGGAAGGGTCAGATAAGTGCAGCCAGAGAATCTTGCAGAATATAAAATTACTCATAATAGCAGCGTATTTCCATCAAACCCAAAACTTCAAGATATAAAAAGCAGAGTTTCACATATTACTCAGCCACAAAGACTTGGTCTTTGCCACAGAACCAAGAGTCACAATTTCAAAGAAGCCTCAGTCAGCTTGGAATTTAATCAATAAAAATTTAAATCTAGTATCAGAACATCTTCCTTGGATAGGCACACAGACAGTCTGTCTGCCAAGTTTTATAGATTTACTGTTAAACCAGCTTATTTTCCAAGCTACTTGTATTCTGTAGCATGACTGAAAGATACAAAAAGTGAAAACTCACTGCAGTATTGTAAAGCAAAATACTGCCAAATGCACAAACAGTTGAGACACATGTATTTTCTAGCCATCACTTAGTTAATATAGTCCTTATGACCTGTTCGCTATAAAAATACAAAAATTAAAAGGAGAACCAACAGAAGCCCTATTTAAAGTTGAGTACCCCTTCAAGCTTCCATTAAGCATCAGAAGACAGTGGAACAAAACGCAAACCTGTAAAACAGCCAGTCCAATGCTGTTCCCCATTTAGACTAACAGTGCTTCCAAGAAGAACGAGGTGACAACATTCATCTCTCAGAAATGTTAAGTCTAAAATGTAAATTATTGATCAGTTTACCAGAACTCCAGAATGTAGCTGCATTTCCTTTTTCTTACATTTCTCTGATGCTGTCGACACTTAGCCAGGTGTCAGAACTGCCGTCTGTTCCCACACACTTGCCAGAAACCTCCAGCTCCATTCTCTCTCTTCAGCACAGTTGCCCACTGAAAGTAGGATTTGTGGCGAATTGAAATAGGGACAGGGCTAAGTTCATGCTTTGTTCTGCCAGACCTCCAGTTTGGCATTTACTTGGAGCGGCTGCAGAATTCCCACTCTGCAGCTCCAGATTCCCCCAAAGCAGGAATTCTTTGGCAAGACCTTAGCTCAGCTTGCCCAGAGCATGTATGCAGCTACCAGAAGCGAGGCAGTAGTGCAGCAATGTAGGAATGCAAAGATCTCACCGCTTTTCCTTTCATTAGCAATGTCAACTTACCTGAATTCTTACAGCCTTTGCCTCAAATATGCTACAGCTTTAATTTATTTTTAGAGGCTCAAGTACCATCTATCCATCTGTACAAATGCTTGCTCTGGATTACCCCACGAGTACCGACAAGATGAGAAAATGACATTTGATCATCTTGCTTAGTCACAAGACCTTGCAGATGGCCTCCAGAAGAACAAAAGTTACTTATATAGAAAAGACTGAAAAGATGAGGCAGGAAAACAAGTCTTCAGGGTTGTTGCCATCCGTTGCAATTTACACTGTTGTTCAGGACTCCTTAGCTCATGCTGCAGCTTCCCCTCATGTGTACTGCCTGTGGGCATGTCAGTACCCCCTGTGTTGACAGTATTTTTCTCATTTCTCAGCTGATCACTTCTCCCTTTAAAAATCTGGCAGGTTTGCAGGCTTTGTTCTGGGATCTCCCCACGTCTCACCTGCAGAAACAAAGGCGCATGAGGAGGAATACGGCATTGGGAGCTTCTTCCTGGAAGAGCAGCTCTTTGAAACAAGGACAGAATCTGAGCAAGATGATCCAGCCAGTTCCATCCATGAAGGAGATGAGGAGGATGAAGATGAAATGCATAAACGAATTTCATTTCCATATGCTACTGAGTTGCTCTGAGCTTTGAGAAAGAGAGCAAAAAAAAAGGAGAGGGAAAACACATTCATCCTAGAAAGGAAGGATACAAACTGAGAACTCATGCTTGGTGATTTCTTGTGGCTGCTCGTGGACAAACAAGGGTTTTTGAAAAAACTGTCCTGTATCACTGATGTTGCCTGATTAGAGCAACAGAAGGAAACCACAGGGACTGTTCAAGTGAAGAGGATTCTCATGGTATTGGTACTTTAACTGGGGAAGTAAATGTGGCTTACCTCCAAAGCAAGTACTGTCAGCAGCCTGTCCCACCAGGATGCCTTGTTTTTCCAAAGATACTACCTCTAAGAAAACAGAGAATCCGTTCTGGCCCTTTTCATTGTGAAGTCTTCTGTGCTGAACACTAGTGGGAGGAGAAGCCATTATTAATTCTCTAATTTTACTAAGTACCCTTTGCATCAACAATTTTAATAATACTGTTAGTGTGCTGATAAGCTGTTTTTATTGTTTGTGAGACTTTTCAGTGCTACGGATCAATAGAGACTTAACACAGTTGGACAAGGTTTGCTCTTCTGGGTAGGCTTGCTGTCTGTTAGCTTCATTTTGCCTCTCCACGTTTATTTTAAGCTCCTTTTACTCCTCAGAACCCTGCCTGACTTTTCACCCTCTGCTTGTATGGTTCTGTTCTCGGTCTCTGCTTTAGTTATATTGCACTTTGTTCTTTCCATATCTTTGTTTCTTCACATACTCTTCTTCCCTCTTCTACAGGTCCCTCTGCTGA